GCCTGACAACTGGTCTCCCTGACCACAAAAATTTACCTTCTATACTGCCACCAAGCAGAGTTTTCTGAAATAGAAATTTAATCATTCCACTGCTCACCAGATAGGGTCGAAGTCCTTTGAATCTCACACAATCTCTTCATAATCCAACCCCACCTGTATTTTGTTTCTTTGTTTTTCCAATCTCCTTCAACTTCCTACCATGGCACATTTGCCCCATTTATCCAGTACTTCTCAATGTTCCTAAAACACATCGTGCTCTTTCATCTCTGTCCTTCTAACCATGCTGTTGTTCCATTTTTTGGTAATGTTTTGTTGCTGCTTTTCTTTCCACCTCTGTCCACTCCCCCAAGTCAGCTCACTGCTGGAAAGACTCATTGCATGGTTCAGGGCCCAGCTCAAATATCATTTCTTCCATGGAGCTTTTCCCACTCCTCAAACAAAGCCATTCTCTTTCTTGGAAACCAAGCAACAAAGCAAAGAAGAGAAGGCTCATCCTTTACACACTTTATCATATACCACACAACTGGCAAAGATCATTACTGGCTCCAAACTTGAATTTTGAAATGCGTCTCTCTGCCCTTAAGAGGATGTTTGAAACTATCTACCAGATGTATCACATCCAAAGGCTAACCTGATGATCAGTTCACTGTTATTAGTGATTATTTAGTGGCCCCCAAGCAACAGAAAGGGACGGGTGCCAGAGAAGAAAGCAGACTTCAGAAAGGACGACGCTACGTGAAAATAAGAGTAGAAAAGAGCATAAAAACAAACTTCCCTTATTTTGTCATTTGGCTAGGATCAATCCTGGCTCATAGGAAAACCAGAGACCTCTGGTCACTTAATCATTTAAGAAAAATTTAGCACCAGCCACTGTGAAATGTTCCTTTAGAGCCATTTGTGACTAAGATATGGCCACTATCTTCAAACAGTTTACCACCAAGTGAACTACTGAATTAGCAAGAATTGCAAGGCTATCATCTTATTCAGAGCCACATTTTCTCTACCAACCAAACTTAAAATGAAGAAAATATACTCCTTGTAGTTTCTAAGACTTCTAAACATTACTTTCTCCATCATACAGACTAAATATGAGAGACAATGAAGCAGTAAGGAGTTGCCCATAAATACTGTCAGTCCTAGGTATGAAATATGTCTTAACTCTAATGTATATAAGATAACAAGTGAAATGAAAATCAGGAAATGAGATTCAAAGCAATTTATTTTGCTCTCTCTTTCTCTTTTTCTTTCTGTATTATATTCCCTAAAGGGCTGGCCCTATAGCCTAATGAATTCTTAACACAGGAGTTTCAGAGGGGAATTTAGATGTTCAAAAAGAGGGGGAGAGAGCTCTCTAAACAAAAATTATGGAACGATACTTGGAACATATCTGGTTAAAAATAGTGGCACCATCCTTCTAATATATTTGGTCAATAGGAGCCAACCTAACAGATTCTGAAGGATAGCTAAAAAGAGTTCCACCCATTCAGTCAGATAAGCAGTAGTCAGCACTCTAAACGCATCAGGCCCTGGAGGATTGTTGTAGGAATTACAAGTAAGGACACACAGCCCATGCACTGGTGACCTATCTGGTAAAATAAAGTTTGCCCATTAGGAAAAGTAATTAAAATATGACAACCATATAAAGTTCAATGAGGTGAACAGCTAAGAAATGAAGTATGGGGTAATATTAAAAACTTTCATTTATTGAGAATATTCTATGTGTCAAAGAGTTTACAACACCTCTGTTAAGTCCATTACCTTTTAAGGTCACTATGGTAGAAGTCCTCTTATCTAAAAAGATGAGGACAAACAGAACATCTTATTTTAGGCTAAAATATATCAATGTGCATCCACTTGCTAATCTTTTGATACAGAGACAAAGCTTTTTCTTTGATTGCTGATTTTATGACTGGAACTCCAATCTGTCTCACATAAATGACACCCAAAGCATATAACCTATGATTCCTAGTTTCTGTTCCTTAAAGATACTGTAAAGGTTGAGGATGATGTCTTTTTCCTTTTGGATATCAAATTGTTCCAGCACCTTTTGTTGAAAAGCCTTCCTCCATTGAATTACCCTGGATGTTTAATAAAACTCAGCCAAATATATAAATATAGATCAATTATGAAACCCATTCTGCTGTATTGATCTATATATCTATCTGTATGTCAACAGCATACTATTTTATTATTGTAGCTTTAGAGTGAGTTTTAAAATCAAGTACTCTGAGTCTTCCAAATTTGTTTTTTTCAAAATTTTACTGACTAGTCTTGGTCCTTTGTATTTCCATAAACTTTTTATAATAACTTGTCAATTTCTATAAAAAAATCCCACTAGGATTTTGATTGAGGTTTAGATGAATCTAAAGATTATGACGAAGAAAACTGAATCTCAAACTACTGACTCTTTTGATCCATGAGCACAGTATATCTTTCCATTTACTTAGGTCTTTTATTGTTCTGAACAACGCTTCATAGTTTTCAGTGTAGAGGTCTTATGTTGGGAACCACCCTGTCTGGTTTCAGGAGCGGTAACACCGCCATGGCTAAGGCTGAGTGAGCGACCTTCAGACCATAACCCACTAAGGAGACAAAGCTTATCTCCCTGGCAGGAGTACTGCTTCTGCTCCTTTTTTCATAACTGGCCCCCAATGCTTAATCAGTTAGCCAATGACAGGTAAGATTCCCCAAGGGGAAACCACCTAAGACAGGCATGATCATGTGGAGGCCCCAGGGAAGGACCTGTGGGGCTATGGAGAAAGGGGATGATGGTCCTTCACACCTCGGCTTTAACAAAGCCTGAGTCCTCAGTCTGTCTGCGAGGAGTGTCCTAAATTTCTTAGCTATCTTGCCTCCTCTGCATGACTTAAACCTGAAACAGTGACAGAGGGCGGTGCAGCCCTGTGCTAGAAAGGGCAGATTCCCTGGGAGATCAGGCCTGAGAAAGGATATGTAAAACCCTGTGAAGCCTGCTTTGCTAAGAATGCTCTCAGTTAAATGATAAAGGCCCAAGCAGGAAATGAGTTTGTTTCCCAAAGTTTTGTAGCCTTTTAGCTGATAGACCCTGACTCAGAAGAAGCCCTAATAGTTCTTTGTATGCTATCTACTGTTTGATCCTTACTGCCTGACAATGATTAATGAGCTGTACCTGTATTTCTATGCAAATTAAACCCAATAAAAGCCTGTCTAGGCAAGGGTCAGCACGCTCTCCCTTTGAGAGGGTGGCCAGGCCGTTCTGAGGCGCTTCCCCCTTGAGGGAGTAGCCATGCTGTCCCCTTTCCTCCACAGGACTTGGTAGTCCATGTGAATTTGTTTTATGTCTCATCCACGGCACCGCGGGCACTGTGAGCCGGTGCTCCCGTCAGTCTGACGCATATTTTATTGTGTTTTCTGTATTTTATATTTTCAACGTTACTGCAAATAGCATTTTATTTAAATTTCTTAAATTCCAAATTTTTCTCTGATAGTATATGAAAATATAATTGATCCTTGTATATCAATTTTGAATCCCATGACCTTGCTAAATCCATTGTTTGTTCTAATGATATTATGTATATTCTTTAGATAGTTCTACATAGAAGACCATGTAAAACATAAAGAATAATACTTTAGTCCAGTTGGGTTGCTCAGCTGCTTGGGGTGTCATCTCATAAAACCAAAAGGTTGTGGGTTCGATCCTCAGTCTGTGTACATACAAGAGGCAGCCAATCAAGGTTTCTCCTCACATCTATATCTGACTGTATCTCCCACTCTCTTAAAATCAATAAAAACATATCCCTGGGTGAGGATTTTTAAAAATAATATTGAAGAATAATACTTTTACTTTTATCTTTTCATTTTTCATTATTTGAACCTGCTGCAAACCCTGGTACAATGCTTTATTTCCAATATTAGTAGAAAAGTAACTATCCATTTTTTTGTACCATAAAATATGATACTACCTATAGGTTTGTCATAGACGTATTGACTAAGTTGAGGAAATTTCCTTCTATTCTCAGTTTGTTGAGTTTTTGTCATGAATAAATGCTTAATTTTGTCAAAGTGTTTTTTGGCATTTATTAAGATGACCACAAGTTTTTTCTCTTTTTTCTGTCAACATGGTAAATTACAATGATTTTCAAATGTTAGAATAATATATCATTCCTATAATAAACACCTCTTGGACATGATGTATTACCCTTTTATATCTTGCTATATTTCTATTTGTTTATATTTTGTTGAAGATTTTTGCTTCTATGTTCACCAGGAATATCAGTATGTAGTATTCTTCTAATATCTTCTATCATTTTGGTAGCAAACTAGTTATGGGTTTTTAAATGTTCTTTCCTCTCTATTGACTAAAAGAGTTTGTACAGAATTTTATTATTCTTTCCTCAAATACTTGGTGAAATTCAATCATAAAGTCACTAGGTCTAGTAAAAAGAGTTATACCTAGGAATTCTATTTCTTTAATATATAGAGTTATTCGAGTTATCTTTTCTTGAGTGATCTTTGGTAGTTTTGTGTGTTTTAAGGAATCTGTTCACTTACCTAAGCTGTCAGATTTATTGGCACAAAGTTGCTATATTTCTTTATTATCCTTTCTTCTTCTTCTTTTTTACTGTTGTTCTATTACAGTTGTCCTAATTCCCACCCCCACCCCCCGTTACTCCCCCTTGTCCTTTATTATCCTTATAAATTTAAATTTTGTAGGATCTATAGTGATGTCCTTCTTTCATGCCTGATATGGGCAACTTATGTTTAATTTCTTTAATTCTTAGTCTTGCTAGAGACTCACATATTTTACTGATCTCTCCTCAAAGACCTACTTTGAGGCTTAACTGACTTTTTCTTTCATTTGCCCATTTTCTATTTCATTGATTTTCCCTCTTTATTATTTCCTGTGTTTTGTTTATTATGGATTCATATTGCTCTTGTTTTTCTAGATTCTTGTGGTAGAAAGTTATATCATTGATTATAAACCTTTCTTCTTCTCCACTATAAACACATATTTTTTTTCTCCACTCAGACCCAAAGTCTCAACACTCACTAGATGAACTGCTGTTGACAAAAAATGTTACCATCACTGTAGTCTAATATAAACATTTAATTCCACAAACTTCCCTCTAAGCACTGCATTATCTATAATGCACAAATTTTAATATGTTGTTTTTCATTTTAATTCAGTTCAAAATATTTCCTGTTATCCTTGTGATTTTTTTTGACCCATCTATTATTTAGAAGGTTATTTTTTTAATGTTGCTCAGTTGCAGTTGTTCCCATTTTCCTGTTACTCCTCCTTGCCCTATTCACCTCTGCCTCCTAAATTCAATCCACCCTCTCCCCACCACCACTGGCTGTCTTTGTCCATGGGTCCTTTATACACGTTCCTTGAAGTTTATTGTTTAATTTTCAAAATTTGCTTATTTTTCCAGACACAGTTCTGTTTAATTCTAACATGGTCGCAGAACACATTTTGTAAGATCTCAATCAGTTTAAGCTTACTGAGACTTGTTTCAAGACCCAGAATATTGTCTATCTTGGTATATATTATGTATGTACTAGAAAAGAATGTATATTCTACTAATGTTGACTGAAGTATTCTATAATACATTAGGTCAAGGTCGTAGATAAGTCACCTAGACCTTAACTACTTTTTGCCATACTTCTTTTACAAATGACTGAAGAGGGGTGTTGAAAGTTCACACCATAAATGTGGTCCCATTTACTTCTCTTTTCCATCAGTGTTTGCTTCATGTATTTTGAAGTGATTAAATGCACGCACATTTAGGATTGCTACATCTTCTTAAAAAATGGACCTTTTTTCATTGTGTAATATCCTCTTCATAACTGGTAATATTCCTTGTCCTAAAGTCTATTTTGTCTGATATTAGTTTAGTCCATTCAGTTTTTGTCATTAGAACTTGTATAGTATATCTTGTTTCATCTTTTTACTTTTAACTTATCCATATCTTTATATTTAAAGTGGGTTTCTTATAGATAGCATATAGTTGGGTCTTAGATTTTACCCAATCTGACCATCTGTGCCTTTCAATGGAGTATTAGGCTTTTACCTAACTACTAATACTAATAATTTAGTATTATTAACATTTGGGGGTCTAAATTTACCATTTTGCTATTTGTTTTCTATTTTTACATTTATTCTTTGTTTCTTTTTTGTATTTGCCTTTCCTTGAGTTGATTGTTTTTATAATGCTATGTTACCTCCACCATTGGCTTAATAGCTATATTCTTTGTCATTGTTTTACTGGTTTCTTTAGGATTTACAATATACATCTTTGAATCATTATACTCTTTTTCCAAATCAGGTTATAGCACTATACAGATAGTAGGAGAAGCTCAAAGCAGTAACTTTCATCCTTCTTCTCCATTTTTAGGGTGTTATCATATTTTTTATTTCAACATAGAAACTGTAAGACATTGTTATTTTTACTTTAGACAATTATCTTTCAAATATATTTTAAATGTTTATGAATTCCCACATATTTACTACTTACAATGTTTTTCATTCCATTTTCTAGACCCAAATTTCCATACTGATACTATTTTTCACCTGAAAAGCTTTTTTTAGTATCTCTTAAGAACAAGTGTACAACTGATTAATTACCTCAGCTTGTGCTTCTGTAAAAGTCATTATTTTACCTTCATATTTAAAAGATTTATTTTTTTTTGCTGAGTATAGGATTCTTAGTTGGGGTTTTTCTTACATTATTTTAAAGGCATTGATCCATTTCTCCTGGTTTGTATATTCTGTTGAGAAATTTGCTTCACTTATATGTGTTCTTCTGAATGTAATGTGCTCTTTTCCTCTTTTTTTCTACGAATTTTCTCTGTATCACTACTTTTCAGCAATTTTATTATGATGTGCCTTATTGTGGTCTTCTTCTTGCTTTTTCTATTTGAGATTTAATCAAATTCTTGAATCCAGGGATTTAGAATTTTCATAAATTATATTAATCAAGTAGTTTCATATAGTTGTCATCAAATGTGGAATCCTATTTTAGGTATTAATTCTTTCAATATTTTTCTTTGCTTCTCCCTTTTAGGCCTCAAATTACATACAAGTCGAACTGAGTGATATGATCACAGAAGTCACTGAAACTTTTTATATTTTTCTGTCTTTTTTCTCCCTGTACTTTATTTTAAATAGCTTTTATTGCCATGTCTTCTGGTTCCTTTATATTTTATTACAATGTCTATTCTACTGTTTAGTCCATCCACTTTATTCTTTAATAAAAATATTAAGGATTTTTCCCTCTCTTTCAATTCCATTGGGTCTTTTAAATATATCCCCCTTGTTTTCTTCCTCTTTATGTTCATGACTTCCTTTACATGCTTGAACGTATTTGTAATAGCTTTTAGTATCCTTTACTTATATTTTCAACATCTTTGTTATACCCACCTCTGTTTCTACTGTTTTATTGTTTTTTCCTATTTATAGGTCATATTTTCCTATTGTGTATGTATAGTAACTTTAAAAATTCTTTAAAAATGTAGGACTTGTGCCCTGGCTGATGTGTCTCAATTGGTTGGAGCACCATCCCATAACTAAAAACACCTGTGGGTTAGAGTCCCAGCTAGGGCACATACCTAGTTGCAGGTTCGTTCCATCCCTGGTCTGAACGATGCGACCCCCAGTCCAGACACATACAATCCCAGTCCCAGCATGCATCCCTGGTCTGGGTGCACAGGGAGGCAACAATCAATGTTTCTCTCTCACATCAACATTTCTCTCTCTCTTCCTCTTTCCTCTCTCATTCTCTCTAAAAAAGCAAGTGAAAAAAATGTCCTTGGGTCAGGATTAAAAAATAAAAAATTTTTTAAAACATGGGACCTTTTTCTAGAAAAAAGTTTACTTACAGGCGCATTTATATCTTTTTATAGCTTTCTTGAATAACCTTTATTTTAGCACTAATTTAACCCCACTTCTAAGATATGGCCCTTCTGAGATTTCTATTAATGTCCCATGTATTCCATGAAGTCTTTCCAGTCTAGCTTAAGGGAACTGGAATGGTCCCTGGCCCTGTTGGGGTTTTGAGAATTTTTCTTCTTATGGCTCCTTGATAATTCTTATTTCCTCAGAAATTGTTCTTATCCAGTCTCATGTAGTTTCACCTCAACTATGCATAAACTGGTATTTGGACAAAGACTTCATGAGAAACCTTAAGCATATTTCTGGACCTCTTTCTAATTTAAAATATTTTGTCCAACAAAAATCTAGCTCAGCTTCCAAAAAGCCTAATCGCTGTATCCTTGACTCAGTGAGATTGCTGAACTCAGCTTCGGTTCTCTCTCCCTGTGTCTCAGGCCTGGAATTATCTACAGGTAAATAGTCTAAGATAACAATATTTCCCTTTTCTCAGAAATAACAGTTCTGTGCTGTTTGTTTTCCAATGTCTAACATTAGCTGCTTCCTTTTCTCCTTTATAATTTTCTAGTTATTTATGGCAGGAAGGTAATTCCAGATTGCTTTACTGCCTGATGACTGAAAATAAAAGTCTCATATTTTTTATATTTACTATTAAATCAGTTCATATTGTCCCTGCTTAATTTTCAGTGGCTTCATAATACATGTGGAATTAAATCTAAGTCTTTAGCATGCCCTATAAGGAAAAACATAATCTGATGCCTTTTTTTCTGACCTCAACTCCTACCAATTATCTTTTGCTTACTGTGTTCCAGCCACATTTGCCTTCTTTCTTCTTTATACTTCTACCTCAAGACTACAATTTCAGGGATCATGTCCATAGTTTGTTACAATTCCACCTCAAAACCCCTTTCCTTGCTGTTAACTCTTCTAGGGTGCATCTACCCGAGACCTTCACACAGGTGGCCTCTTGTCATTTAATCTCAGTTCAGACTTTACCTCCTCAGTAATATCTTCACTGATACCAATTCCATTTTATTTTCTTTATAGAACTTATCACTATCTGAAATTATTGTGTTTATTGATGTTTACTATCTGACCATCCCCATATTTGGACATGTAAACTTAGACCTAAGACTTGTCTATTCACTTCTGAATATCTACCACCTATAAGAGTGCTTATATGTAGTGGGTATTCAATAAGTATTTGTTGAATTAATATTATTCATTTTTAATTAGAATTCAGAACACAGAGAAAGGCTTGCAGTCTACAATGAAAAGAGTGAGAAAATTAAGCCCCTTTCTCTCCAATTGTCCTTTCAATACTTCCATTCCTGCTTTATTATCTGAAATCCCGGCCTACAGAAAAAAATGAGAAAATCTAAAGATGAATCAGATTTTACTAAGTCTTGGTTAAATATTTAAGATTTGTCTTTATACAAATTAAAATTGAAATCCTCTGTGATGATGTCAATCTCTAAGAGGGAGAGGTGCAAGGTAAAAGAACAGCAGCCCTGATAAGTCCACCTGTTCAGATTTCAGAAATCTTTCTTCGTTTCTCAGATGAAGACACCCCTAAATTCAGCGGGAAGGACAGGAAGATCGCCTTTGCAGAAGCAGCTGTTCCATGCTAACACTATGGAGTCCCTATGATGTGGCTCTCCATCTTGAAGAGAGGAGCCACCTCAAAGACAGTGTCCTCTCCTCCTTCTTCCCAGTAAGTTGTGAGAAGATGAAGCAGTGAGAAAGTGGTGTTGTATGCAGTGGGTGAGGGGTGAGGTGGGGGACGAGACCAGACTATGTGTGACAGCCCTAACTCACTCTGCAAAGCACCTGAGGCCCACTATCTGGCAGACAGAGACGGTGAATTGTCACTGTGTCATAAAAAAATGTTTGAGGACTGTCAAAAAGCTAGAGTCCTTTTAAACTCCCACATACAAGATATGTGACAAAAGGAGAGAGCCTTGTTAAAGGGTAGTATCTAAGGTAACAGACTGTAACTCATGGAGCAATCCAAAAGCAAAGCAGGACGAAATAAGCGAACTCATTCTTATACTTTGTGCTATGCCAAATTATATTTTTGAGCCTTGGCTTATAAGTCGTTTACATTATTGGTATTGCAAAAATTAAAATAAGTAAGGTTAACTTACTCATGCTTTTATCTTAAGCAAGAAATTTGTTTTGTTTTGTTTTGTTTTTTGACA